TGTTAGTCTGGGGTAGCTGAAGCAAAATGCAGGACAATGTAGCACTTTAAAGACTAACAAGATGGTTTATTAGATGATGAGCTTTCGTGGGCCAGACCCACTTCCTCAGATCAAATAATGGAAGAAAACAGTCACAACCATAGATACCAAAGGATACAATTTAAAAAAATGAACACACATGAAAAGGACAAATCTGTCCTTTTCATGTGTGTTCATTTTTTTAAATTGTATCCTTTGGTATATATGGTTGTGACTGTTTTCTTCCATTATTTGATCTGAGGAAGTGGGTCTGGCCCACGAAAGCTCATCATCTAATAAACCATCTTGTTAGTCTTTAAAGTGCTACATTGTCCTTGACTGGCCTATAGTTCCCTGGATCATCGTCCTTCCCTTTTTTGAAGATGGGCACTACATTTGCCTTTTTCCAATCATCCAGGATTGCTCACAATCTCCACGACTTTTCAAAGATAATGGCCAAAGGCTCCTCAATGACATTTGCCAACTCCCTCAGTACTCTCGGATGCATTAAGCCCAGACCCATGGATTTGTGCACGTTTAGCTTTTCAAAATAGTTCCTAACCTGTTCTTTACCCACCAAGGGCTGTCCATCTTCATCCCATCTTGCATCACTCAGCGCATTAGTCCGTGAATACAGAGGCAAAGAAAGCATTGAGTGCTTCAGCCTTCCCCACATCATCTGTCACTAGGTTACCTCCTTCATCCAGTAGGGGCCCCACACCCTCTCTGATCACCTTCTTGTTCACATGCCTGTAGAAACCTTTGTCATCTTGTTACTTAATTGTGAACAATTTGGGACAGGGACAGTTCCCCTCCTTAAAAAAAAACAAACACACACTCCATCTAACAAAGCAGATTCCTGGTCCATGACTAAGGCTCAGGGATGCTATAATATTAAAGTAACATGCACAAGCCAAACAACATTTAAAAATCCTAGCAGAAGTGACTTTTTGAACCCTTTCATAGTGATGAGGCACAAGGACAACATGGAGTTCCCATTTATATAAAATTTATTAAGCCATTCTCCAAAATCACAAAGAACATTTGGACTCACTTTACACAAATCCTGCCGTCAGTGAATACACATGGAAGCATCTAAAGCAATGAACACCGAAAGCAATGCAGGGGGATGCCGGCAGATCACTAACTCTTCTGGAGCACATACACACTGTTGAATATCAACAGGACTAAATCTTTGCTGCATCTGGGTGAGTTCTGAGAGCCCAGGCCTATGCATAGAGATCCTCTCGGTCTGCAGAGTAGACCTCCCCTTCCTGCAACAAGGCGAAGTTGAGGAAGTGAGATGGGCGATGGACCTCATGGTAAAACTCCTTGGGATTTGCTAGCTGCAGCTCGTACTTCATGTTGGGATCATGACGAACACCTAGAATTAAGCAGCCCCATTTCAGTCCAGGCCTGAGGCTTCAACCATTTCCACCCTCACAGCTTGCCCCGCAGGAAGCTACCAGTCACATTTAAGGGACAAGACTAATGTGATTAACACATGATGAGGTGGACAGGTTTCCTTCCTCTTTAGCTTTCATAGAAATCATTGCAAGCCCCTACTGAAAATCTCACCTGCAGTTGGGTGGAAGGATCAAGAGAAGTGGAACAGCTTCTTTAAGCTGAGCTTCTCTTTGCCTGTGTCAAGACTGATTTGTATCTCTCACATCTCCCCAAAAGCTTATCCTGTGCCATCCTCCTGTCCCGTTTCAATCCCTCATGCCAGAAGCTGTGTTCCCTCTTTCTCCCTCTCCATTCGTGTTCCATGTCAGAGGCTGTATGCACCCCATCTCCCCCCCATTAGTGTTCTCTGTAGGTGGGAGGTTGTTCCAGGTATCAATGTGTTAGATGCTATTAGGAGGCTAGGCAGAGAGGAGACAGGGATACTATTATGCCGGAAGGCATTAAATGGTACCATCAGCCAGTTGTTTGACCTATAATGTATATGTGCTTGAAACTGGCTCTGCTACACACATGGCAGGGGCTCTGGTTTCCACTTCTCTTTCAGTTTTCTAATTTGCCTCAGGAAAATCAATAGGGTTCTGCCCACTGATGCCTAGAACGATCCTTAAAATTCTGGCAATCATCATATGGGGGATTCAAGAGTTACCGTGAAATCAAGCATAGGGCCTCCCAAAGAACAGGTTACCCAGTTGTGATACAGAGCTTGGACACACGCAGCTAAGATCTCTGCTGGCAGGGACTCACCCATGAAGTTGTAGTTCCAGGATCCCTGTGCTGGTACCATGAAGAAGCCAAGGAAGCGGTCAGACAGCAACATCTGCACCCTCTCATAGTGGGATGGCAGGTAGCCCTTGGGGTTGTTCCCTTTGTCGGTGTTCTGCCTGCCCCATTCATAGCCACTGGGAGTCAGCTTGTAGGCAGTCAGTGTACAGGAGCCTGGGGTAAAACTGGAGAGAAGCAAAGTGGTAGTGACCAAACAAGCTGATCAGGCTAGCCCTGAGACTGAAGGGAAGAAGCCAAGTGTGAACATCGCCCCAGCTGAAAGAATTCTACCTCTAGCTCAAAGCAGCAAGCAAATGGATCCACTCCACAAAATGAGTAAGTCTCTG